CATATGTATAAAATCCCATACAATATAAAAAAGTGGACATAAAAACATTTTTATCATTTATATTCCAGTGACTAAAATAATATTAAACAGAAGTCTTAAATGTTGTTTCTGACTGGTTCAAACAGAGTCTGTTATATCCGTGCCTTTAGCACTAATGTCTTTTGTTCACTGATGAAAACCAGGAACAGATGATGACACACGTGATGGTATATCCTGCAGCAGTGGCAGCTACACCTGTGACTGGGACAGGCTCACTTATGTGTCACTGACTGTTTTCAACGTGTCTAAAAATGAGAATTACACAGTTGGGCTGTCGTCAAACTGTGGGATGGATTCTTCTGCTCCTATCACAGTACAACTGGACGGTGAGTGATGGTTGTGCATTTGTTCAGKCATGCAGAACAAGCTGTTTTTAAATGAAGTGTTTTTGTTTTGTCAGAGACTGTGCTGCTGCAGGAGCTCAGCACCAATAAGACCCAGCAAAGAGACGAGACCCCCTCACACAGCACACCCGTTGTGCTTGCTGTCCTCGCTGCAGCCACTGCTGCAGCTGCTCTGGGTTTTCTTTATAAATACTGCAGGAGTAAAGAGAAGGGATGTAATAAAACCCCACATAATTCATGTGCCTATGTGTAGAAACTTCAATCTAACATTAACTTGTTGTAAWAATGTATTTGGCCTGAGTGATTGTGGTTCAGGTGGTTTGTGTAGCTGAAGAACACAACATCAACTACATGAGTGTTGTGAAACAAGACATTCCTGCTGCTGAATATTAATGTAAATAAATGTACAGATTATTTATTGACAGTGTGTCCTGGAGCTTTACATTTTGTCTGATCTGCAGGAGTTCTCMGTCTGAAATGATTTGTTTTTGTTGGTTTGATAAAAGGATAATATAATGGAAAAAACATATTATCTGTTAACTGACGTTAAGTTCTGGTTAAAGTTCTCTCTGGCCTCATTAACAGGAGGGCGAGTCTTCACAGTTGTTTTTATAAAAACTGTAGTTTTCTTTTTCATTTTCAGAACATTAAGCTGGGCAGAGCAGGAGCATTGATTTTCTGTCAAAACTTTAGAAATAATAAAACACTGAAGTGTAAACCTGATCTCTTTAAGAGTTATTTTTCACTACAATAAGCTCACAAAGCCAGACGTCTTATGGAAATGTCACTTCTGTTTTTGTGTTTGTTTTGATTTTGTAATAAATGTGCATGTCATGGTCTGTCATTTCATGCCTTAGTGTTTCAGTGTTTCCCCTGTGTTCTCTGATTGATGCCCCGCCCACACTCACCTGCTTGCCCTTGTGTTCCCCAGGTGTTTCTTGTTTGTAATCATGAGTTTCCCTTTATATTCAGTGTCTTGTGATCTTGTCTTTGTTGGATCACTGTGCTGTCGACCTTGATCATGTCCTGTTCCTGGTAAAACCTTGACAAACTGAGTTTTTCAGCTGCACTGTCAGCTTTTATGATTTATATTAAAGACCTTGCTTTTTGCTTTTTGCCTTTTTCTTTTTGAACCTGGCTGCACGCTGGGTTTTTGTCTCCAGTTCATGACAGTGCAGAATTTGTTTAAACTTGTGTTTGTACTTTGTCATTAAGATGCACTCAGCCCTGAAAAAAGATTAAACGAGTGTATCATCAGGACAGGCTGTTACATAAAGAATATTTTAAAAAGTGAATCATTGTGGAGACTTTCTGAAGTCAGTGACATTTTGTGTTTCTTGTTTCTTAAATTTTAGAAGATGAATGTTATAACACAAAAACTAGTATCTCACTGGGCTTTGACTGTTGGCAACAAGTTAGAAATAAATAATTTCCCCCAAAATTACACAAAYTCTCTGTCCAAATGAGCAGATATGAGTGTTCATCTGAACAGGTGTGGAGAAATGTCTTCTTAGCCACGTTATTGAAGATGTAGGATTGTGGGGCAGGAGATCCACCATACATGGAGCAGGCATGCAGCAATCTACAGCTGGAGCTTGAACAGCTGAAATCATTGAAATTACTGCAGATCGTCCAGCCTCCCTGATACAGCATGGAGCAGCCATGTTTTCCACATCCTTAGGTGTTGGAATATTTGGCAGGTATCTCTGGGTTTGGGAATGATTGGTGGGGGCGGGGCATCAGGGAACAAACAATCAGGAACTGATGAGAGCAGAGAGGAATGATTCATGCATGCAGTGACTGGATGGATGGAGTYTCACAAAGACTGCATGAAAGTGATGTATGGGCAGCAAACATGCAGCAGTYTAATTCAGAGTCCAGAGACCCTGGTGTGTCCCCCTGCTTAACCTGTGGCCCGGGTGGTGAAGAGGACATGGTGCTGCTAGAAACCAGTYTCTCCAAGACAAGGAGCTACAGTATGTCCAAAACAACAGAAGTTAATCATCAAATTCTGACCTGCCATCTGGATTGACTGAGAAAATAGTTCCCCTGAAGAGAAAATACTAGAGCAAATTTAACAGGACTAAGGTCTTTTGAACGGGAATTTAGTGGACGACTCCACTGCAAAACCCTCAAACCTGTATGTAATTCCCTGGGAGGATGGATGGAGCTAAATACAGAACCAACCTGGAAGAAAACCTGTTAAAAACTTTAGACTATAGGGCTGATGTTCAGCTTCCAGCTGGACAACGACCCAAACCCTCCAGTCAGAACTACAGTAGATCAGAGGTCTGCATCCCTGTGGCTGGGATGGACTTGTGACCTGTCCAGAGTGAACCCTGGCCCTGGGCATGGCAACCAGTGACCCTCGTGACCTGAACGTGAAGAAGTGAATACAGATACTGGATGGTTCATGAATAGATGGTCTTCAACCTTGTTCCTCCTGACCCACTGTGCTGCATGTTTCAGATGTTTCCCTGCTTCAACACACCTGACGGTAATAAAGGAGAGGTCAGGCTTCTGCTAAACTTWTTGACATTCTGAGTAGGTWATTTAATTATTTGAAACAGGTCTGCCAAGTCAAAGTRAAGGCCTAAATATAACTGAGATTCAAAAAAAAGACTTGTTGGTACAAGGTTTCCTTTCTGTCTGATGGAGCTTGGTTTATTTGGCAAAGYAAGAACAAACATTTAATCCTCCAGAAACAATACAAATGCCAGTCATCGATGTGTTTTAGATTTTTATTTGTAATAAATATTAAAAAAGAAAACATTTCTTTTGTCTATCACATTAAAGCCCAGTAATGTACTTAAAAGTTTGTGGTTGTAACATGACAAAATGTGAAAATGRTCAACAGGTGTGAATACTTTTTCAGTGAACTGTAAGTTGTGGAATTACTGTTGGACTTACGGTGTGGGTGAACCTTAATCTTTTGTATAAATCTGTGCGACWTGATAGAGCATCTTTCCAAATAAAATGAAAGTTACAGCTGTAACTGCGTTTCTATGAATCCATGATGACTGCCAGAGGCGTGCTTCAAGTACTGAGTGATCATTCTTGCACATGCGCAGGTCGAGAATTAATAAGAACAAAGTCACCTGTGACCTGCCGGTGACCCACGTGACTCAATAAAGTCACYTGACATCCYGCGCTCAATCCCTCAACCTTCTCGCGTTACAAGGATTCTGAGGGACCGAGCGCTKTGGCGGTCATCCAGGATTCATAGAACCATAGTTACAATTGTAACTTTCGTTCTACTTCATCCCTACTGACCGCCAGAGGCGGTGATTCAAGCACTGGATGACTCATGTRAACAAAGTRARGAGGAATCTGTAAAACCCACAACACCACTCACCTCACMGGGATACAGGAGGAAGCTGCTGCAGAATATTTTGCAGGGGATGGGGCACCGCCACATTCACTCTGTAGAACCGAGCAAAGGTGCTTGGTGATGTCCACGAGGCCGCACTGCATATGATGTCCAGCGGCACTCCAGTCATGGCGACCCACGAGGTCGTCAGGCCCCTTGTGGAATGACACTTCACACCCTCTGGAAGTGATTGACCCATCGAGGCGTAAGCCTTAGCGATTAGCCCCACGACCCAGTGTGAGAGTCGTTGCTTAGAAAGGGCCTGCCCTTTCCGAGGGCCTGCATAGCAGACGTGTCTTTCAGAAAGGTGCTGTGGATCTCACATACACCTCCACATACACCACAGAGGCTCTGAGGGGGTCCCAGTGTTAAAACGGGRGAGCTGAAGCAGCWGRGTACTGCCTGCCGCCACTGCCACCTTAGGGGTAAAAGGAACATCAGACCATAGTGTCACACCTGAACCATCCAAGTTCCACCGACAGCATGGCTTGGCTATAGATAGAGCCTGTAATTCGCTCACACGTTTTGCAGAGGCCATGGCCAACAGGAAGGCCGTCTTTAATGAGAGCCATTTGAGGTCTACCGATGTTAGAGGCTCAAACAGGGGTGTCCGGAGACCCTCAAGCACCAAAGAAAGGTCCCAAGCCGGTGCCACAGGCCAGCTTGGTGGATGCAGGCGCCTAGCACCTTTTTAAAATTGAACTATGTCCTTGTTCCGGGCCACTGAACAGCCATTCAGCCTGACATGCCAACAGGAAATAGCCGCTACATATACTTTCAAGGTGAACGGAGACCGTCCCCGATCTAGTAATCCTTGCAGGAAGTCCAGTATGTCAGAGACTGAACACTGTACCGGGTCCTGCCCTATTCCATGACACCAACTTTCAAAGATCGCCCACCTATTAGCATAAACAGCCTGGGTGGATGGTGCCCATGCGTTAGCCATTGTTTGTCCTACCTGTCCAGTATATTCTGAGAAAGTGGAACCAGGCCTTGCAGGGGCCAAACACAGCTGGAGTCGATCTGGATCGGGATGGAGAATCCGCCCCCCAGCTGGGAAAATAGATCCCTCCTGGAGGGGAGACGCATCGTCAAGCTGGAGCAAAGCCTGTARAGCAGAGGAAACTAAGTCCTCGCCGGCCAAAAGGGGGCCACCAAGAGAACCTTGTGGCCCTCCCGAAGAACCCTCAAGAGAGTTGGAAAAATTAGGCTGACCTGGGGGAAGGCATAAAGAAGGGTCTGGGGCCAACTGTGTGCCAGTGTGTCGCATCCCAGAGGGCTGGCTTTGACTGCCAGGGCGAACCAAAGGGGGCAATGAACTGCCTCCTTGGAGGCAAAGAGGTCCACCTCTGCCCTGCCAAAGACTCTCCAGATGTGCACCACCTGAAAGGGCCTTTAGGGTTCTCCTACAAGGTTCAGTAAGAGGCGATTACGCCAGCCAAAGCTGGCGTCTAGCCTGAACCAATGTGGAAAGCGTGCATCCGAGCTCCCTAGTCATAAGTCCAAATGCCTGCAGAGACGCATCAAACAGATCTTGGGTCGAATGGTCCACCATAGCTGCCTCTAGAGAGGAGAACAAGGCTGACATTAAATGGGAAAGAGAGTTCCCAATACAACCCATGCGAGCTCCCGAGTCATACACCTTACAGAGCAGGTCGTCAGTAAGACAACATTGTGGTCGTGGACACCYGACATTAGATRTCAAGGCCTCATCAGGTGGAACAATAAGAGAGGTGATGTCTGGTTCCACAGCAGGCATCTGACCCAACCCAAACTTAGGTGCCTCCTGCATGGCAGCCAGGGCTCTACCATCTGATGTTGGACGTGAAAACGCTTTAGTGTCTTCCCAACAGGCATGCYGTTCCRTRATATASTCKTCTGAAGGAGGGACCARGAAAGRCACGTCTGAATTACGGCGCCYAAAAAAGGCGCTTGAAGCAYTGGGACGAACCTGCGAGACATCTAGCTACAAATGAGAAAGAGCTGTCCTAATTGTAGTSATCACTGACTCCCCTGAGTCCCCCTGGGACATGTTGGACTCTGAACCAGACGCCCTGGATCCCAACTCAGGATGGTCCTCCCYGAATTGTGTACCTGAGGCCGCTACTGAGATGATGTCTTCATCCCGGACCACTCTCTCTGGCTCAGAAGGGGAAACCACACTGCCACCACCAGTGTAGAAAGACTGGAGGAGGGCCTTCATTTGGGCCAGTTCAGATTTAAGTTGAACCATCTCTGTGGACAACKTTTGAGTGTCAGTTTGTCTGGCTCACTTCGCTGGGACCTCAGCAACTGTGACAGTCATCCGCTTCAGGCACMTCYTCTGTTCTGGTATCAATGGGGTCTGCTGCTCTGTGACCCAGTCAGTTGGTTGCTGCAGCACAGCCAACCGTTCCAGCCTSACTGCTCGCGGCATAARGCTACAATTAGGGCACGCGTTATCRGTCAACGCCTCTCTAAGYTGTTCTACATCCAGGCAGGAAGGACACAAATCATGTCCATCGTCAGGCTGGAGCTGAGCCAGACAGGTCGCACAACATAAATCAGCATCGTACTGCTACAATACCTATGACCAATAGTAACAGAAAAAGTCACTCSAGCAGAAAAACGCTACTGGTGACTGTCTCTACAACTCCTCAAGAGTAAATAAAAAAAGACTCAAATTGAGCTGAAAACACTACCGATGAGTCAATAAGCCACAACACTAAGAAATCAAACAATGTGTGGCATCTTAAAGCGAACAGTAAACTGGTGTCGTTGAGAAGAAAACAAACAAACTTYCCAATCGTAGCTTCTATCAACAGCCACTACCTGGTAAAAGTAGCTTGTTTAGCCCCTGGAGGGAGGGCTCACCCACAGCTCCAACCGTGAACGGTCACGAGGCTTCTGGCATCAAGCAATAACGGAAATAGCAGTGGTAACCGTTAAAGCTTGTTTAGCTTAGAACAACCACCTGTACTCCGTTTACCTGCACGCGAGAAGAACAAAGGGACTGAGCGTCGGATGTCACGTGACTTTATAGAGTCACGTGGGTCACCAGCAGGTCACAGGTGACTTTGTTGGTATTAATTCTTGACCTGCGCAAGAATGATCACTCAGTGTTTGAAGCACCGCCTCTGGTGGTAGGGARGATATAGAACTACAAATAACAGAGTTTAACTGCTGTGTAAGAACACACCCACACACAGCTGAAGATGTGACAAGTGTCAATAGTTTCCTCCTCTCACCACAGATACGCCTTTCAAGCAGCAATCAGGCTGTTGATGTGTCAGCTGCTGCATCAGGGTGTCTGTGCACGGGCCGACCTGCTGCAGCCTGGGGTGCATGATGGAAGCCCACTGCTGGACCTGTTTGTGGGGACTCTTCTACTTACCTTTAGTAGTAAACCTCAGTTTAGGTGAGTGTGTTTGCATGTGAGAGAAAGAAGAAGATCTAACAAAGCTGCTGTCTTCAGCAATGAGTCTGAGTCATCTTTTCCTGTTTGCAGCTTCATCCTGTTTCTGCCTTTGGTGCTTTGTCTTTAAAAGAACAATGGTAGAAAAAGTGGTTTGGGTAAAGGTGCTAATACAAGAAATCTATGCTTAAAATGATCATGAAAATGTTTTTTCTAAATGCAAAAATGTTTTTAGAAAAATTCTAAAAGGGAAGCTTCATTTATTAAATGTTACTGGACAGAGTTGGGTTGGGTGTTGGTCAAAGTCACATCCTGTAGAAACCAACCCAAGCATCTGAAATACCAACATGTTTGAAGTTTCAGCATGAATTATTCATGTGCACGGGTTCAAAATAAGTGTCTTAATGTCTATCAAACTGGTTTAAAGTGAACATTTTAATTTTTTTATTAATTAAAAACTTTTTTTTTTCATCATTCGAAACTGTTGTTTGTTTGTTTATTTGATGTAACTCTGTTAATAAAGCTCCATTTCTCTTGGCAGTTTCCCAAAGCCCCTCATCGATCTCTCATGTCAGAGTGAACTCATCTTTTGAGATCACCTGCACATCCCAGCTGCAACCTTTAGGACTGCTTCTGCACAGGTTTTTCTCCGACAAGGACGTTGGCTACCTGTACTTCCACAGTGGAGTCATCAAGAAGACTGTATTTGATCCAGAGTTTGAGAACAGATCTACTGTAACTCCCGTCAAGCAGCAGGAGGGGTTAGGGTTTACAATAAAGCTGTCCCTGCTGGACCTGGGCGACACAGACTTGTATTCCTGCCAGTGGGTTTTTTTCAACGTGGAGTCAAAAAGCAGCTTCAACCGGGAGAGTAACGGCACCYTCATCATAGTTAGAGGTGAAAAACTCTGTCCATCACTCATATTAAAGTGTTTCTTTTGTTGCTTCTTGTTCTACTTTCTTTTTTGTGCTTGATGTTTTTCCTCTCAGATGATCTTCCCCAGGACCAGTGCAAAGACAATATTGTGGACCTGACCTTGGTCTGCCTGAGTGTTGCTGCAGTTATTTTCCTGCTGTTCTTCTTCATCGGAYCTCAGGTTACAAAGTGCCTTAGAGTAAGTGTGCAGAAGGCCGACATGTCCTCCTGATCAAGCATAATGTGAGGCTGATGCTGTGCTTAGATTAAAATGTTTGGACTGATTATGTTGTCCCGTTTAAACAGTCAAAAATTACCATGAATATGTTTGTTTTATTTAACCTTGTATAAGAAAAAAAGAACAGATTTATTTTTCAGTCAGTTTTTCACCAAATGATTCATATATTTATAAATGTCATAGTTTATAAACTAGATATTTAACTTACAAGTTAAATATTTAGTACACAAGCTAAATATTTAACTTGCAACTTAAATATTTAGTTTTGAGTTAAATATTTAAGTTGCAACTTAAATATTTATTTTTGAGCTAAATATTTAAGTTGCAACTTAAATATTTAGTTTTGAGTTAAATATTTAAGTTGCAACTTAAATATTTAGCTCAAAAATAAAT